ATTGTTTCAGGAAGAGCCATATTTGGGGAAACAAGATAAATGAGACTTATTTGATGGTATGTGTGAGTCTCAGAGCTTTATTGTAACTGCCTCAGAGAGTAGGACTAAGGACTAGAGTCCTAATGGCTTATTGATTCTCAAAGCAAGTGTGGATGGGCAGGTTCATTACCCTGAACCACAGAAAATGGCAACACTGGCCTGATTTGATTTAAAGCCCTGGGCATGTGTTGCTTTATGGGGTCTGATGTGTGCAGAAAGCCTACCCCATTTAGTGAGCTGTTCTGCCAGGGCTGTGTAGACCTGCCCCATCAGCAAGATCAAAGCCAGGTTCACCAAACTGCTGGAGATATTGGCAATATTCCCAGCCTGGAAGAAAAAATGTTTGTGCAGAGTTCAAGAGCTACTGCAGGTGCAGAGGAGATTAATGAAATGGTGCAGTACGGTAAGTTATCTCATATTTTAGTTAATGCAGATCGATGGGGTGCCCACCTGAGTACGCAGAACAGAACTCCCAGTTTCAAACATCATTACACTCACTATACTGCGGTATATGATCACTGTGACCAAGAAGATCATCACTACACACAGCTGGGAAAACAAGTTGAGAGAAAGAGGAACTAATTTGGGTGACAATTATGACATATTATCTCCCTTCTAACTGGCCAATTAAAATTTTGTAGCTCCATTAAACCTCTGACAACTCCAGTGGGTCTCACCATTATAACAATGACCATCGAGCCAGTCAGCATGCGTGAAATCCGCGCTTTTTCAGGGAAGTAGGGTTCTTTTACTCCTGTAACTGGGTTTTCCTCCATCGCAGGGGCCATGGCAGCAAACTCAGGACGTGGTGGTTCCTGATCATTTAAAAAAAAAAAAAACATGTATACATTACCAATCTAATAAAATCAACAATGTTAGGAATGATTAAAAAATATTTTTTTCTTAAAGTAAGGACAGTGCCTTCTTTTCTGTTGTGTGTAACATGAAAAAGGGCAACAAAAAAAAATCACATTGTAAAAAATCATTTTAAAAATAAAAACTATTTTTCTTAATATTTTTATCCTGTTTTTTAATAGTAAATATCTAAACATCCTTAAAACAAGCCACATTTTTTAAACTTTGCAGCAAAATATCTAACATGTTTGTATTCTAAGGACAGTGCCTTCTTGAGTCTTCCAAAAATATTCTTTTTTTCTGCTCTAAAAAGGGCAACAACAAAAAATCCCAATGGTTAAATCGCATTTCCTTCATTTCCGATTTCAACAAAAAACAAAACAAACAAAAAAACACCTCTTTCACTTCAGATTGTTTTCCACATATAAAACAAAAAAACAAAACTTGCCCTTCAGGCCTTCCATAATGTTTAGATATTTTTTAAATGTAAAAAAAACGTAGCAAAAATACTGATTAGGAAAATGTTGTGCACGTCAAACCTCCTCTTCATGGAAATCCATGCAGTCCCAGTGGTGAGCGAGAGTGGCATTCTTGCGTTTCCAGTATTCCAGGAACGTGACAGCCCATAAAGACATGAACACACTGAAGAAGACAGTGCCGGGATGATCAAACAGGTAACCCACCTTAAGAAGAGTTGAGAATAAGCACGAGCAAGCAGGAAGTACTATATTTCCAAGTGTTCCTGTTTTTTTTTTACTATTGGCAACCACACTACGTTCCAAAAAAGACACAACATAAAACAACTATATATTACATAAAGAAGTCACTATACAGTATACTCTATACACATCTTCATAAACTATACAAACATATTGAATGCTAGAATATGGTGTCTTTCACATAGAGTACCCAACCCAGATGAAGGTTTTTAGCCAGAGATGATTACCTTGGCCATGGGACAGATGTCTGATATATTCCAGGGTTTACAGGTTTCACACAGAGGACACATTAGATAAAGTCCTCCACTCTCACAGATTTCCTTCCTGTAGATGGTAAATGGAAACAGGCAACAATGCTAGAGCTAAAATGAAAGCATACAGCCTGTTTTTGAAGCATGTTGTCCTGGTAAAACTGTGCTGATCAAACAAAAGAAAATATTAGAAATCTGTCAGGAATGCAGTAAGAGTGCGGTTACTAGAAGCAATAGTTTAGTTTAATGTTAAGATCAATAGACCAAGGAGGTAGAGTGTACAAATGAGTGTATCTAGCATATAGATACACATACAGTGCTCCTAATTTTTGCTCTTGCTCTCTGATTCTCATTATTTTGCTTGCTTATTCTGAGGTGTAAACTGCAGCAAATATTTCCAACCCATCGCTATTAGTCCTTCAAGTACATGCGGTCAACAGTTGCTATAGTAACAAATAAAGGTCATAAAGCCCACTGATATGACATCATTTCTGATAGCAGCAAAATAGCTTAGAGGAGTGCCAAATGTGTGAGTCATGTAGAGCTGAAAGAAGTTCAGTGCAGCAGCTGAAACACTGTTAATCGATAATACGGGAAACACTTACGCTGGGGTATTGGATCCCATTGTCAAAATACCCGAAACAAAGACACACGTCCCAACCAATGCAGCAGGCAAGAGCCAGGCTGTGTAAAATCCTGTGAGCAAAATAATTTGGTAATTATTGGTTATTATAATTATTGGTAATATATTGACAGTACTTGTTTTTGTGGTTTGCGACACTATCAATGCCAACGCTGTGGGTTTCGAAAAATATAATATCATTTACTTTCATTTAATTTAATAACAAATATATAATAATAATAATAAATAAAATAATATTATATTAATGTATAAAAAGTACATTAGTAATATGCATTACGCATTACTGCAATGCCAAGATACCACAACCAAAATATGCAAATATGAATAGAATCTATGGTGCCTACTCACCCAACCACGCAAAATAAAGTGCAATCTTCTCTCCAAAGTATTCACGGATGTGATCCAGAGGCTGGTACTTATACCATTTTAACCAGTTGGACCAATAGTGGTACAGTACCTGCCTCTTGTTCAACTGATCAGGCTGGATGTCACAACCTGGGAGCTCAAAAGGGCCCTTAAAAAAAGAAAAAAGCTGACTGTATCAAGCTGTACTTTCAATAAGACACGTTTGAAGCGCATTGCAGTATATGGCGTCTTGTGCCGAACCTCATGCAGAGGGAATGCACCCGTAAAAGCCCCCTCATTCAGCAGACGAGCGACTCCAACTTCTGCACGCTTCCTCCTGCCATACACAGTCCTTGCTAAGATTTCATACACCTACAATGAACACAGGTGTAAGCAATTATCATACACTTGAAATAATTGAATACACCATCAAATACAGTACACTGACATTCAAAAGTCAGTAAGATTTTAAGAAATCAACACTTTTATACATCAAGGATGCATTAAATTGATCAAAAGTCACAATAAAGACTTTTACACTGTACAAAAAAAATCTATTTCAAATAAATGCTGTTCTTTTGAATGTTCTATTCATCAAAGAATCCTGAAAAATATCAAGGTTTCCTCAAAAATACAAAAAGTACCACAATAAGTCGTGGGGCAGTCGTGACCTAATGGTTAGAGAGTCAGACTTGTAAGCCAAAGGTTGCAGGTTCGAGTCTCAGTACCAGCAGGGCTTGTAGGTGGGGGGAGTGAATGACCAGCGCTCCCTTCCACCCTCAAAACCACGACTGAGGTGAGACACCGAAGCCCCAACTGCTCCCCTGGTGCCGCAGCAAAAATGGCTGCACACTGCTCCAGGTGTGTGTTCACGGTGTGTGTGTGTGTGCGCACTTGGATGGGTTAAATGCAGAGCCATACTTGGCTACACGTCACTTTCCACAACTGTTTTCAACATTGAATAATAATAACAATAAATGTTGCTTGAGCATCAAATCAGCATGTTAGAATGATTTCTGAAGGATCATGTGACACTGAAAACTGAAGTAATGACTGTTGAAAATTCAGCTGTGCCATGACATGAATAAATTACATTTTTTAAATATTAAAAAAGAAAACTTGGTGAGCAAAAGAGACTTATTACAAAAACAAAGGAAAACAAAAAAAAACGTACTGACCCCAAAAATCTGAACGTTAGAGTATGTAATAATTTATTACACTATCACATATGTGAAACCCAATTCTGCTTTTCTTGTGGCTGTTTATTGCACACTCACAATGCGGTGTCTTTGTGTGTTGGTGAAGTAGTTTTCACGGTCATCAGAGCCCAGAAACCTGAAAGTCGAAGTAAAGGTCTATATTTACAAATCTGTTTCTGCAAGTAGATGATCATCTTGTACACTTGTAGAAAAAAAGCGTAACTTTTCCATTTTGGACTTGCGGAAAGCACATGTGTAGTAGTCCACAGGACGGTTGGGGACTGAGTCTTTCATGATGTTCGGCACCCAGAGCTTCTGAAGAACTCGAGCAGAAGTGTTGTAGTCTGGGTGTGGCTGTACCTATCAATGAACACATACAACTCATTTCAGAGCTCAATTCACTTGATTCTAGTGTTATTTTAAGCCCTCTGTATTTGCGTTGGGGAGGTGAACATGAAAACATGACACTAACCTGCAGAGGTGCCCTAAGACGTAACTCCTCAGCGTAGTACACCAACACATCCCATGGAGCATGGAGCTTCAGATAGTGTACAGTCTTCTTTACACTGGATGATTCTTCCTGATAATAAAGAGAAAACCATTAGCAACACCATAGCAAGTACCATAAATGGCACTGCACTGAGGAAATTAACCTAATAGCTGAACCTTTTCCATCAACAGTCCAGCACTCTGGAGGTTCTGGATGAATTTGTCCCTCCATTGGGCCAGCTGAGCTTTTCTTCTCTCTGACCTGCTCTCCTCCTGTGCTGCTTCTACTGCCTCCTCTCCTTGCGACTGTCCCCGACTCCGACACTTACGACGCACCATCACCTCCCACACCAGGACAAAGTCTGAGGCAAGAACAAATAGGCTTAATATGACTACTTATGCAGCAATGCAGTTGGTGTATTTATAGCGCTTTCATCAAACCCTTACCTATTTTTGTTTGGCCGTCTCTGAAGTAGTTGCCTTGGGGCTGAACAGGTGGGCTTGAGGTCCGCTCACAATTAACATATATGGGGTCATCATCCTCATCATTAGCCGCAGTGGTCAACTATTTTGACAACATTAATATATTTAAGCAACGCATACCATTACGATCATTAGCAATCACATGAACCATTAAAGGAATAGTTCACCCAAAAATGAAAATTTATTCAGCCTTACCCTTGTATGTTCATCGAAACTCAGCATGTTGTATATTCACAGAGAAATTCAGCATTACATCACTTGCTCACCTATGGATCATCTGCTGTGAATGGATGCCGTCAGAATTAGAGTCCAAACAGCTCCATAAGTCCATTAGTCATAATAATGCTTCCTCCAGTGAAAAAGTCCATCCCCTGTTCTCCTCTCACATCAAAATCCACCAACACATTTGTTGGTCTGTTTTTGCTTGTAAACAGTGATCTTTGCATATTTCTCCCGATTCAGATGAGATGACTTTCTCATTGGAGAAAGCAATATTATGGATAGAGGACTCATATTTTAACCATAAACAACTGTTTGAAGTTAAAAACATCTTAAAGATGAATTTATTATAAACATGCTTTGTGCTTCAGTTAATTCATGTGATGTTTTTATCAGCTGTTTGGACTCTCATTTTGATGGCACCCATTCACTGCAGAGGATCCACTGGTGAGCAAGTGATGTAATGCTGAATTCCTCCAAATCAGTTCTGATGAAGAAACAAACGCATCTATATTGTGGATGGCCTGAGGGTGAGTACATTTTCAGCAATATTTCATTTTTGGGTGAACTATTCCTTTGACTGTTGGGCTGTAATCATGTAGTTGGTGGCGAACTCCATTAACTGTCGGCGAGTGTAAAATCAGGGCTAGTAGTTTGTGGATAGCATTAAATATCTTGGCCTATCCTGAAGGGCAGTTTGCAAATAAAGTGTGTTCTGACTGGAAATAACATCAGTGACAATAAACAGTTGTGTAATGTGAACAAAATTAATCAAAAGAAAGAAATGAATCAGAGTTTTTGAAGGAATAAGTTGAGTGAATAATTTAAATGACTCATTAATAAAGGCTGTCACTTGTTACCACCTCCTGGTGTAATGATGTAACAGTCTGTCTAGAATGCACAAACACAGACAAGCAAACAGTGAAAAGTCCAGCAGTTGGACTGCTGCTTGGCCAGTCAAATTCAAGGTCTGGAACTAACTGTTGTAAATGACAATCTGACAACAATTACAACTGTACTGTATGTTTTATTGAAATGCGACAGGTAAAAACAATTAAGGATTTAACCCATTAGCAAAAATATTAATACATCCTTTATAAATATTTCTAAATACTGTATTAACATAACAAAACACTCCAAGAAACCACCAGGTTGCCTAACAGCAAAGTCATGTGCTAATTAGCCATTTTAGCACACAACCGAACAGCTCTGCAATGGCTTTGATGATATTGCTACACAAAGCAACTAGAACTCTTGTTTTGACGAACAAATGCATCTAATGCTGTTCAACACAGACCAGTACACTCACATATCTGGGAGGAATGAAGCCCCCATTTTGCAGGCTTCCATAACTATCTGGACCATGAGTCTCGCCGCTGTAGTCCAGATCCAGCAGAACCTCCCGGTCCATCAGCACCTCAGGGTTCCTCTTCTTCAGCATGATAGACAGCTAGAATCAAATGCTGAGGTGAAGCTAGAAGAGACTAGGTCGTTTAACTCACATTCAGAGCTTCAGTACAACTGATCTATGTACACAGTCCCACGTTCCAGTCCAGGCACTCCGGCAGAACATCAGCGCCCAATAAATTATGCACATAAATTAAATTTGTGATAAAAGTGTAAGTGCATTCCTCCCCCAAAGAAGAGCTGCAGGAGAGGAGACAGAGGAAATGCACTAAGTGCCTCTATAAGCGGATGAGACAAAACAAGGGCAGAAGTGGTTCTGCAGCATCTCTGCACTACCCTCCCTCTCTCTCTCTCATTCACTGCATCCCACTGTCTCCTCAGCACTCTAGAGGGACACTTACCGTAAATCCTCTGGCATACGAGCCTATACTTTCATCTTCAGCAAGGAAAAACCCATGTAAACACACTTTACAACAAGAATGCATATATCCTGTTTCCTGTTAAAGAAAGATTATACTATGCAAAACACAGTGTCATGTTCAGGTAGCCATTCACTTAAATCACTATTCATCCGAGTCTCTTGAGGTGAAGATCCAATTTTTAATGCATTAGAATTACACATAAATCCGGTCTCAGATAGACTATAGATGCGCTAAACTGTGTGTTTAATGAGCATAAATCTTATTGCCTAAAGAGGTACATGACCTATTGGAAGGATGGACCATCACAGTTCAAAAACCTTCAGTGCAAAGAGGTAAAACGTTGCATTGGATATTGAATCATTGCCACCTGAAAGTTAGGAATTGGCCTGAACAAATTGGCTGAGTCAGAGAGGAATTTTGCTGCAGGCTTTACATTGCTTTAGTTGCATTGCCATTATTTGCATTTTGTGTATTTACATCTTGCACTAATCATTAGTACTTAACAGCAATTAAAATCTGCCATTAGCCGTCTGAATGGTATTTGCAGACTTCTGGGTCAGTCTTAAAGAATGCTTGGGCTGAGAGCCACAAATAGCTCATATTTCTCACTATTCAAACGCAAGAGCATTTGTGAGACAAACATTTTGAGTACAAATGACTTTTCACGGTCTCAAAAAAATAATCTCTGTATGTACCATGTGATCCTTTTTGCTTTATATATCCCCCATCCCACCCCCCCCAATCTCAGAAGTGCGTTAATATTTTGATGTTACTGCAGCAGTGCAGACAGAGGGAGGAGAGAAATAAAGAGAAGGGGTTGGGCAGTTAAAGTGAGAGGGAGGAGGGTTTGAGCACCTTCTGTTCATTGAACCGCAGGAGTAGAGAGGCAAGGATAACTGGAAAAGAAGCAATGCCACCTGACTGCAGAAATCCACCCCATACATGAGGAAAGCAAGAATATAATTGGAAATATGGGCCCAATATATACAGAATATCAAAACAATTAAAAAATATATATATATACAAGAAACTACAAGAGGACTTTAGTTCAATAGCAGTGATGCCATTTGTTCAATTTTGGTTTAAATTAAATGCTTACACCTATGTGCAACAATGTCACCGAAAATAGGAGTACTTTGTCAAGTTCAATACCATTAGATTGCGCCATTAAGTCTTTGTGTTATTGTTTCTAGTTAACCTACTAAGTAGTAATTTGTTAAATGGATATTTCAGCATTTTCATATTTCAACATTTACACACCCTCAAGTTGTTCCAAACCTGTATTAGTTTTTTTTTCTTCTGTTTAACACAAAATAATTTATTTTGAAGAAAGTTGGTAATGTGGTGTCGTCTGCTGCTCATCTTAGGAACCACACTCAGTCTTGGGTTTTGATGCCAGGAGATACACTTTATTACATCATCAATGAGAATAAAGCGGAGATGCTCTCTGCAGCGAAACATCTCCAGAATGTCTTTCTGTCTCCCTTTTTATACAGGTTGGATTTTAAGGCGTGGGGTATATATCACATACAGTTTTCCATACATAGAATGGTTCCTTTGTGCATACAATTCTCCCTAGAGACAAGGGGTTCTTGTTATGGTAAAGAAAGAAGGCCCCCACTTTTGTTTCCCAGATGTTTCTAATCTTAGGGCCTGTCTACTTTAGCCACGTAGGCATTTTCCACACAGGCATATGTGATTATAATGGAAGAATCCAGTCTCCATAATTTCTCACTTCTATAGAAAATATATAGAAAATAATTTTATAAGCATGAGCGTGCAACTGGTTCAGCGCTTGCCTGTGGTTGTCACAGTTATGTATAAAGACATAAAAACACATTTAAAACATCACACAGAATATCACAGGATTAGCATAGTTTTCTTGTCTTTTTTCTTTTCTTTCCGTCTTTTCCGTGGGAACTTTAGTACAGTGATCCAGATGATGCCAGGTTGTGTTTCCCCCCACTTTGACTGCTGCTGGAGTAGCTCTCACCACTTCGTAGGGTCCCTTTCTCCTGGGCTCATTCCATTTTCTTTTTTCCTGTAAATAGATAGCTCTATGTATGGCAGTTAATTTCTTCATATATGATCGAAGTTCCATTTGTAATTGCTCTAGAGGCGGTCCTTTGTAGGAACCTCTACAATATAGCACAGGCATGGGTCGACCCGTAAGCATTTCATGCGGTGTTAAGTGCGTGCTCCTGTTAGTTTGCATGCGATAGCTCATTAGTGCAAGAGGTAATGCATCAATCCAATTAAGTTTAGTACTTTCACATATTTTGTTAATTTTGGCCTTGATAGTTCCATGAACCCTTTCGACACATATTCAAAAGTGAAGTAGGTGTAACCATTTTTCTTTCATGTGTACGCCAGATCTCTTGTGAGTATTTTTTAGCTCCCCTTTGGTGCCACATTGATTGTTCATAGGGGCCTGCTTGTTGTTGAATTAGAATTATATCCTCTAATTGAGGTGGAGGTTTGATAAGTACTACAGGTGCTAATACTGCTACTTGACACCCTGAAGCTTTTGTAGCTTCTAAATTTGCTGCTTTGTTTCCCTTAATATCATTAATAACATAATCATTTCCCTTCTTGTGTGCCTGACATTTGATTATTGCTAGTCTTTTTGGTAGCATCATAGCAGAAATTAATTGCCCTATTTGTTCAC